TGGCATCCAACCTAACAGCGATGGCCTCCTGCCCATTGGCGACGGCCTCCAACCTAATAGCGATGGCCTCCAACCTAGTAGCATTGACAAGCAACCAATGTGACATCAAATGGCAGAACGACTGCAACACACGTCCGAAAAGGGTTGGTTTGCTGCCCGAATCGCTCCTTCCGTGAAACACAAATCAAACACACAAGCGTCAAACACAAATCTCACAACACTGAATGTGGAACAAAAAAGACCAGCAACTCATTTGTATCAACTCCAACCACACTTCACATCCTTTCGTCTGAGAACTGGGTGTCACTAGGTGTCCCACCACACAGCGGCTGCGGAAGGTACCCCCAGTGAAGAGGAGGCACAAGGACCCCGGTGGAAGTGATGGTGACAAGCTGGACAGTGAAGTATTTGCTCCTTTCCAGTGCTGAACTGTGATGACAGCTGAAACCCTGCCTGAAAGCACTGGTTTAAAACTGGAGATCATCTTTCAAGTGTCCATAATGGACATGACATGTTCATCTTGGGCATATTGGCCAAAGAAGCCTCTAAATTTGTTCATTGCAAAAACCAAAGAAATGGGGTGGTGGGGATCAATAGCAGGTAGTAGGGTTGTTGACAATCACCGATCCGTGTCGCGTTGTCCTAGTTGTCGTGCCGCATTTTCTGTGGCTTCAACTTGCCGGAGTTCTCAGGAAACCAAGCTTCTTTTTACTAGAATGCCAGGAGCGCCTAGTAGCGATGCCAAGAGCCCCTAGTAGCTTCTTGCTCCTAGTATTCTCAGGAATTGATCAGAAACCTGGCCCAACCTTTTCATCGACCAAATCCCATCCTTGTGATGAGAAGCCGCCTGAATCCACCTCAAGGATTCTGCAATCCACCTGCCAACGGCGGACCTCCGTCCGATTCATCAACACGTCCCAGTAGCCCATCGCGTCCGACGTGTCAGACGGCGAGTTGGGTGGAATTCCCGATTTACGGGTGTTGTCTTGAACACGTGTGGTTCCACAACGCTCCGTGCCTGTACATTTGCATCTGGAATGCCTCAGTGAGGCAAAGAAGTCACTATAATGAAGAAGTTTGGGTCATTTACACGGGTACACTTCCTGAAACCTGGACACTTGCCGCCTAGATTGCAACCCCCGAAGGAACTCTGTCCTCTTGTTGACATGCAGAGCAGCGGGTCATCCGCCGAGAGGAGAGGATTCTTCAACGTCTGACAAGCCGAGCTCCTGGCCACCTTTTGAGGTGATCAGAAAACCTGAATCACCCATTTCACACATTGGGGCATTTGGGGCGGATGTTTTTGCTTGTTAAGCACTAGAATCTGCTGAAATCTCAGGCCAATACGAGGTCGTAGAACCTCCAGAATCTGCTGATTCCTTTGTCGTTGAAGCTCCTGGTTGACCAGTTTCAGGCGTTTTTTCGTTCGCATTTGATGTGATGGTCCGAAATTGCATCAGACAAGTTTACCCCAAAAAGGGCATCAAACATGTCAAGCATCCCTGTGCATCAGTTCACTGGATGTGAACTGCCATGCTTCTGGTAAGCCGGGGAGGTCATCATGGTCTTTGATGGTCTCCAATTGTTTGTACCTCTCCTGATCCTTGAGGTCAGTGCTCAGCAATCCAAAGCAAATCTGGCACCTGGAACGTCAGAAGAAACATATCCAAGTCAAAGACTGCTGTGCTAGGTTCACAAACAGCTTCGTCAATATTCAGAACTAGCAGTAACGTGCAGCAACTATGTTGTTGCAAGAGTAAAATATCATCTATCCATCCTCCTCACAATAATCTACATTTCTTATATTTCTTTCACAAAGATTGGTAAAAGCACGTCTTCCATGTTTCTCGTCAGCATCTGCCAGCATCCACCTGCTCAGAGCCAGGAGCACAGGCAGAAAGTCCTGTACAAGGTCAGGACGCCAGTGGCTCTGATCTTCACTTTTGATCGCCACTGCTCAAGCATTTCAAACATCGATATTTTGCTAGGGAAGAGTCCAACAATGATCAGAAACTGCCAATCTTGTGCTGACGGCCACTTCTTTGAACCAACCCCAAGGCCACAACTGCAGTTCCTCGTGAATACGCGGAAGCCACACGGCTGCAATCCCCGGTTGGTCATCATCGAGGTCTCCCAACGACTTGGCTAAGGCTGTCGAGCGCGCCTGCCACGTCGTGGCCATCTTTAGATAGGTATTCAATAATATATCCATCTCTGAACTCTGAATACGTCTCATCATATAACTCTTTTTGGACTTCGCGCTTAAGTTGGAGGACATCGCTATTAGCTTGGATATGTTAAATCTTTTTGGTTGTACAGAACTCTTGTTGGACGAATTATGTCCCGGCACGATGGTTGTCCCTTGCCTGGAGTTCGGCGTAGGAGAGGGCAGTACGTTCCAAGGGCCTGATGAGCTGACAACGGAGACGGGGAAGGCTCCTCAAACATCTGAGTTGACCGTCTGAAAGTCAGTGATATGGAAAGGAACATGAAAGAACACATTGGGTTTGAGCGTACATACATTGGGTTTGAGCCCCACCCAAAAGTGGCCACACGATATGCATTTGTCTGATAATCCTTTTCGAAACAGCTCATCAGTTGGTGCTGTGCAAATTTGCTTCCTCAAAAACCTGACAGGTTCGACACCTGTGCAGCTGACGGACAACCTCTCTTATACCACCTAGAGAACCGCGGAACGCAAGCGCGTTCCGGGCGGTACCTTGCCGGAACGCATGCCACCACAGCAGGTGCGTCTGGGGTAAGGCGGGCCTCCCGTGATTCTGCGGCTCAAATTCACCAAACACAAATCGACCCAGCATGCGATACATGTTTCTCTTTAAACCTTCATCACATTGACATGTTCTCTCCTTGTGCAATGGCAAGACAACACTACAGGACATGCCTGCTCATCGAACAGGCCATGGAAGTACATGTGCTCAAGGTTTTTGTTCGTCGGGTGCTGTCAGTTTTGATGGTACATTCCACTCGTCATCCGCACTTTGGACTGCAGGGAGACATCAATGAAGAACAAAATATACTGTATATATATTATATGTGTGTGTGTATATCATGTTTATATTACATATCATATCTATTTATGAACATTGTCAAAGGCTCCGCGCATGATTCATGCAATCCTTCAACATGTCTTGTCAAACCTGACACAATTTGAGTCAAAATGGCCCAGAGAGATCGACATCTATCCTCTCAGGCATCCTGCCCGATTACAGCCTGCAAAACACAGCCTCGATAGCCTTCTCGACACAAACTGAACCACCCCCACATGTAGGCGATTTGGTGAAGCGTTCAGAGCAACCCCTTGAAGAATCGTTCGAAACATGCATGTGTCCGTCAAGCAAAATGTTCAGAAACTAAACCCGCGGCTTCATGTTACTCGTGAGGACCAAAAGGATCCGCAGTTTCGTTCCAAGGTCAAGGACGATCGCCTTGCAGATCCTTGCACCATATTTGTCCTTGACGCTCAAATCAATGGACTACACGGTGAAACGGATGCGAAATCGCATCTCGCTAGTCGGACTTAATGTAATGCCTCAAACGATATAGAAGCACCTGGTGCGCAGAGCTACGAAGGCACTTTCGCAGCCAATTAATGCACACAAAAAAGGAACGCACCGGAAAGGAACATGAAAGGACATTGGAAAGCCTTATATAAGGCTCCCGCACGGCCAGTTTCATTTCCAATCGCCATAACACCCTGCTTTGAGAAGTCAAAAACTGAGGCCTGAGAGAAAAACCGCTTCGGATTCCGAATGGGCCCTGTGATTGCACGATACTGCAAGATACGTTCAGCGCTCTGAGGCATCGGCTCGATCCAATGGAGTTTTTTCAGTGGGCCAATTTTGGAAGACTGTGGCTGTGCCAGAATGCACCAGCCTCAGCCTCAAATAAGAATTTCCAACATCATAACGCCAAAGGCCTTTGGCGGCCCATCCACAAGCAGCGCACGCTTTGGACTTCATCCGCGAGCAAATGCCCAAAATCTGCCCATCAGGACTATACCTGCACTGGGGCGAATCAACCAAATGCTTCGCACGCATCGCATGCATGTACATCCACATCGTCATGTTTCAAGAGCTGCACCTGACGCAATCCACCCGGGTCGTTAAGTTCCCAATGCTGTGAATCGGACTCAGTGAGATTGCAGGGCAAAAGTTGGAGGCCAAAACGATCCGTTCAATGCCGATACTGAATATGACCGATGCACAAATCAAATCAAATCAACCCAACGTTTATTTTGGCATATGTTTGGCTTGTTTCTTTGCTCAAAAATCAACACCCTGCAGATCACGTTCTCACGCCCAAATCGACCCACTTGGACGCAGCGTTCGGCCACCGGGCCGGGGCTCCCCACGTCCCGGACAACTTTGGTCCGCTGAGATCCAGAAGGTCCACATTGCCGGTCCTCAGGGCGTCTGGAGCCATGGCGTCGGCGATGACGCACTGGTGCGGTGCGTCGTCCCAAAGGTCCAAAAAGTGACTGTTGTTTTTTTGGTTGCGCGGTCATAGGAGCACGTCATGGACAATGGAAGTCTCAGGTCTCATGGAGCTGGAGCTCACATGAGTCATTCCTTTTCCATCCTTTTCCACACCGGGCGTGCCGTCGCATCCCTGTCACGCTCCGAGCGGCGAGGTGCCAATGGCCAAGCTCTGCTGACTGGTTGCCATACACCGAATACCAGTGGCCCACGACTCCTGCAGTCCAAGACATTCCGACATCTCTTCGACTGACTTGGATCACCACACCCTGCAAGCTTCGCCACGATCCAAGCGCGGAAAACGATTGTGGCCACGCCGCACGAAAAACGTTGGTGCGAGATCTGGTGCGAGATTGCTCTGCGGGCGGACCTTGATCTTTTGCCGGCAGCGACCGGTACTGATGTCCCACTCGTAGATGTTGCACCTGGGAGTGGTCATCCCCCCGCCCGCGCGCGCGCTGGTAGAAGGAGGGAACTCAACGTCGCGGTGGCTTAGAAGAAGGCTCCGAGTCGGCCGAGTAGACGACATCCTTGGGATTACACAGCAATTGCCCAAGCTTCTGCTGGGGATGGTTGGATTCCAAAGCAATAGGGATGGCTAGAAAGAGTTGATGTAATGACTAATGACTATAGCAAATACTAGTAGGATGGAGTGGGATCTTGAAGTGATACTCTGAGATGGCAAGCCGCTGCTGATTGACGTTTCGACCATTGGTGTTCTTCGCTTTTGGATTTGTTAGAACCTCCATGCCATCTGCTCTGATATTGAGAAAGCCCTGATGTCGCATGGAACTTGGTTTCTTTTCATAGCTTTAAGTTGGAGAGAGAAACAGTGGCTTGAAAGAACACTTGGTCGATAGCTTTGTGAGGTGCAAAGAGAAGTGCGGCTCCAGGAGCACCCATTCGCAATGTCCTGCTCTGTCTCGTCACAGCGAAGACACAAGCACATTGGAAGCAAAGGACCTTCTGAAACGTTTGATTGATCAACTTAATAGTTAGTAGTATAGAAAGAAAGTGAAAGTTTCTAATGTATAGTGTTTAATAGAAAGTTGAACATGTTACAAGAAACTTGGACCCACATCAAGGACTCTCCCATATACATCCAGCATCCAGCCATCCTGATGTTGTGTTTGCTCTTGATATCGCAAATGTTGATGGCACCTCCATCCCCAAGCACACCATACCTGCCCAAACGATGAATTTTCAGTGTGGATTAACAAACAAGACTGACTCTGTTGACAACGAGGCACATCTGAGAGGTCTTCAAGCCACTCACCATGGATGGCGATGGACCTGAACATCTTGGAGGGTGGATTTGAAGCCCCTACGAGTATGGTGGTTTTATGTATCAACGAAATGGGAGATGATCTTGCTTTTCCTTTGCATAAGGCATGGAAGCCAAACACAAACAGAGGCATGGCCGCGTGGCAAACTGCGTAAGGACGCTTGAGGGCATGAGTGTTTCTATGGTCCCTTGTGTTTGCGAACTTTGGGTGCCAAACCAACGACAAGGCAGCGGTAGTTGCTGCGGTCCGAACTGACATTGCCTTAGTGACACTGGTATCGCTAATAAATAACAAGAAATACAGTAATCAGGTCCTTTCAGGCGAAGTCAATCGATTCATACCTATTCCATACCTATTCTGCGTCTTTTTTCAACTCTCTCTCTCTCTCAGAGTTTCGGGCGAACTTCAAACGCTTCTCCGCTGCTCACATCCAAGCCTAAGGGCTTGAAAACGCACTGCCTCCAAGGCACACGACACGTGGGCGAGAAACTGAGGCCGTGGCCCCACATCTGACTAGTGGTACTTGACATGAGGATCTGAAGCACGGAAAAAGGATAGTGCCTTTAATCAACTTTAATCAGTCTGGTGATCATTCAGTATGGCAGATTTTTCGCATAACCGTCTCTCAGCTTCTGTTCAGAAAGAAGCAAACCCGGCCTGATCACCGGTGGGCGTAAAGGTCGCACAGAGAATTGGAAACTGTTTGAAGAAGTACGACGCCACCTGCAAATTGAAACCCTTGAGTGGCCAGATTGATTGCAAAGCTCCTCCCAAAAGCTGTACAGAATTGGAGCGGATGATCCAGAGACCAGGTTTGGGGGAATTTCTTTTAAAAGCACGTCATGTCCTTTTTGGGACATTTCTTGTGACAACGTCAGCTTGTGGCCCTGCATATCTAAGTCATGCAAACACATATCAAGGTGAAACCCTACAGCTTTGTTTGTACAGCCATCCATGGACATCTGAGGCCTTCGGATTCTCATCGCCATCGACCGCAAAGAGTCGCAGCCTCGGAAACAGAAAGCAGTGTGTTACCCGGACCCATTCTCTCGTGGGGGATGGTTCAACAGTGAATCTCCAGTACAAAAACACACAGCGACCAGAAAGTTACCCCTCCAAGTTCTGAGTATCATCCCTGACGAGGACGCCGCCTTTGCAAGAGAGCGGAGTGCTGCGCGTCCGGATGCAGCATGCGGCATTCCCGGGGCCCCCCCACGTTTTATCGCGGCCGCCGGTGAGGAGCAATTCAGAGTTGGGGTGGAACTGCAAGGCCTGCCAAACCATCGGATCTCTGTTCTTCTTTTAACATGATCGCTTTAGAGCAGGAAGAGAAACACACTGTTTTCTTAATTGTTCTTACAAAGAAGGTAACACGAAGCCACAAGCCTCGATGGCCGAAGAACCTTTCCTCTGACCATTTGCCTGAAGCACACTATTTGCCTTCATCTGCCCGTATTGCCCGAAGCTTTCTAGCAACTAGAAGCTACTAGGTGGAGGTCATCGTTATTAGGTTGGAGGCCATCGCTACTAGCAACAATAAAGCTTTCTAGTACCTAGCTACCAGAGTAGCGACCAGATTTCCTGACATTCTGGTTGGTGGGAGATTGATCTGCCCAGTCTGGGACTGCTGCCAGCAGTGGTAGCTCTGGGAGTCGTTGGAGATCAATCCTAACTCAATCCGCGGGGCGACACATGTGGCGCCACACTTCGTCCAATCGTGCAGCGGAAGTTCAGATCCCGGCTGTGTTGGCTTAAGGCTCCCTGAGGCGAGGGAATACATCTCATACACCCCCCTCACTTCGAAAATCCCTTCTCCCGAGCCGAAAGGAAAACTGGCCGATCAATTCAACAGCCCTTCGATGTGATCTCGAATCCGCTTCATTTCCGTTTGAATGAAAGCCTCCTCTGGCCACCGCCGGCATGCTCGAGGCCTTGCAAACAAAGTGAGAGCATTCTCATAGATTCATCAGACTTACCAACGGTCGATAGATCAACGACGAGGTGGCCTTCCATAGACTTCCGACTTGTCCCAGCTGAGTAAGACACACTATGGTAGGCTTCAATTCAAGAGTGGATTCCACTCCAACTGGGCTCAGGGCAATCGCTTCGAACTCCTCCTCCTCCTCCTCTGAATCTGAAAGCTCCTCGCCACGAGCGAGAGGACATGTTTCTGGACTTCA